TCCAGTTAAATAGTGTCAGAAAAGCCTATGATGTGAAACGGGAAATAAATGAATTGCTGCTTGTGCACTCTGTGGGTGTCAAAGAATGTGTAATTGAAGCCAAAATGTTAGGTCAGTGGAGGATGTCTGCCAAGTGGCTGGAGAGGACTTGTGCAAAATTTGTTTTCTATTTTCACAGATTCTGCAATTTGTAGTCTCTTTGATGTAAATAATGCCAATGAAAGGTGAGGCTGCTGTAATTAGATCTACTAAGTCTGGAGAGAGGGCCAAAATAAAGATTCATTTTGTTTATGAATCGATATTAGATTCTGAGGATCACAACTCAGCTTTGGGATTGCTTTTAAAAGAGCCAGCACAGACCAGATTACCCGAATGGCCTTCTTCTGTCCTGTAAATTACTATGATTCTACAATATGATTTAAACAATATTATAGACAGATTAGAATATTCATAAACATACTTTCCAATGGAATTTTCTCCACAGGAACATACAGTATTGGGTGTGTCAGCCTGGCTCATTTGATACCAATTGTGCCACTGAGTCAGAAGGTTATATTGTAAAAATGCTGTTTGATAATAATTTCATTTGTAGATCTAAATCTTTTCAACTGTGTATGTTTTAGATTGTGTTTCTTGGTATCAGTGGTGGGCAATTATCAGAATTATATTGCCCATTAACATCACTCACGGGATATTATTGCACACTGACATTAACAAGCAGTGGTCTAACCTATTCTCTCACAAATAGTGACTCTTCCACAAATTCCATGCAATGTTTCATTCCAGAGTATAATAAATATACCCTTGAACTGAAATGCTGCACATTTTACGGGACAGCACAACAAAAGTTCTTGTTAACCTGAGGAATTTTACACAACCAGGCTTCTTTCCCAGGCTGGTATTTGACTCAGATATTGTTCCTGCTTTTCTATTTTGAATTGTGCAGCTGCAGGATTCTCATTTGTTCTTTCTCAGGCCTGAGTCTGCCATTGCGCTTTCCTGGGTTTCTCTGAGGCCCCTCACCAACTGCAGCCAACGCTGATCAATGGTTTTCCATTTATCAGACAACTAACTATCAGCCCACGGGTATAATAAATCAAATAGCAAGTGAAGGTTTTATGTTATGATTGAATTGTTGTTCTTCAGATTATGCAAGTGCCGTTCATTGTGTGCAACAATCCTGCTATTTGGCCCCTTTGATATGTCTCAAGTGAACACTGTAATTTAGCATTCCAGCCCAGTTAATTATTGGATGTGTTATTTTGATTACTCTGTATTGTGCAGTGTTAAAAAAAGAATCCTCACTAAATACAAGGCAGCGGAATTGGGATTTTACAACATTTTTACGTTGCTACATTATTTTCTGATCTTTTTGAAAAGTGGGTCATTTCGATGACCTTTGTCTGCCCTCGACAATCAGTGGAACAAGGGCTCACCATCTGCTGCAAGCTGAGAGCATCTCCTGATACTTGCTGTTGTTAACAATTCACTTTGACAGAGCAAGACAAATGTCAAAGAACCCACTTTATCGCAGAGTTGCAGCTAGATAAAACGACAATTTAATTGTACTGAAAATGTAAGTTCTGTGATTATGCTTTACAATTAATGCACCTGCTGCTGGAAATTCATGACCCAATAAAAGTGTATTTTTACAGTGAAATAATTTGTGCCCAAAACATGAAAAGACAACACATTTTAAGTGGCCCTGAAAAATCCTCTTATATGATACCAAGCTGCATGGTGAATGTCAGTAAGGAGGCAATTACACAAGATATTTTATGTATAGCAGTCCATTTTTTCTCAACAATACATCTTTGATGGGAAAAATAAGCTACCATATATAATCGTAAAATGACTGAGAATTTTTAAAGTTGTAATACAGAAAATTCTCGTATTTATAACTGACCTTCACTGTCGTAATTTACTCCACTCATATTGATGGTACCAATTCAGTCTTGTACCAATTTCATATGATGCGGGGAGCTTCTCATATCTTTTGTCCAGGTATCAATATCATAGAGTTAGGAGTGTTTAATGCCCTATTTTGCTGGCTGTGTGCAAGATTTCACTGTTTGACAGCTGTGTTGGCACCTATCTGTCAGATAAGCTGAGGAATTCACAGAATGTTGTCGAGAAATATCAAAGCAGAATGTAGGTATTTGCGACGTGATCTGATGTGTCAGCCTGGTTCAGTCGGTAGCACCCCCATCTCTCAGTCAGAAGGTTGTGGGATCAAGCTCCACTTTGGGACTTTGAACTCACAGTATAGGCTGACACTCCAATTCAGTGCTGGGGAGTGCTGCATTATCAGCAGTGCCATCCTTCAGATGAGAGGTTAAACCAAGGTCAAGTCTGCCTGTTCAGATGGACCTTTAAGATCCTATAGCACTATTTTTCAGTTTAACCAGCAGTGACTCCAATCCGCTGATGTTCTGCCAGCTTGTTTGTCAGACATTAAGATCTGGATGAGCACTAACTTCCTGTAGCTGAATGTCAACAAGACGGAAGCCAAACTCTTTGCCTCCCATCAACGTCTTCTTTCTTGTGGTTCTTACGTCCATAACCTCCCCGGCCTACCACTCAGACTTACCGAACCTGCACGTAACCTAGGCATTAGGTTAAATCGGCAGCTATCCTTCCTACCCTACATCCAGTCCCAGATCGGGACCACGTTCCTCCACCTCCGTCACATTGCCCGCTTCCGACTGAACCTTACTCCCAATGCAGCCGAAAATCTCATTCACGCTTTCGTCACTTCCTCGTTTATTCCAGTGCCCTCCTCACTGGTCTCCCCAGCTCCACTATCCACAAAATCCAGCTAATTCAAAACAATGCCGCCCGCATTCGCACCCACTCAAAACTCCATGCCCCCATCACCAGTCCTCTCCAGGATCCACTGGCTCCCTATCAAGAATGAATTGACTTCAAGCTCTTCATACTCATCTACAAATCCCTTCACACCTCCCAACCTCTCCGACCTGCTTACTCCCAATTCACCACTCGCTGCCTCCATTCGACGGGCTCCTGATTCCTGCTTGTTCCTCATCTCCTCTACTCAACCATTGGCGGCCGTGCCTTCAGCCACTATGCCACAAAACTTTGGAACTCTTTCCCTCAATCCTTCTGCCTCGCCCTCTCCTTTCCCATTTTTAGATCATGCCTGAAGATCTTCCTCTTCGACTGTGTTTACGGTCACCTCCCAGCTCAACCTCAGGCTCTGCAACTTTTAAGCGCTCAAAGATGCTACCCAGTATGAAGGATGCTATAAAAATGAAAGTTGTTTTTATTGTTGAAAAAAGAGAAATATTTGGGAGATTGTTCTGTCCAACGAGCCCCCAAATACAATTGATCATTTACTTCATGGCTGTTTGTGTCATGTTGCTCTGTGCAAATTGACTGTTGAATTGGCTGCAGGCATATTACTTTACAGTAAATCACATGACGTACATTGAGCCATTTTCTTGATGTGAAAGGCACTTTATCAAATTTAAGGTTTTTGTGACTATTGCATATCCCCTTTCATGTCGGGAAGATGTCCCAAGGCACTGGACAGTCAGGGATTTGGACCTGAGCTGGGGGTCGGGATTGGGGAGGGTGGAGGGCAGGAGGGTAGGAATGTGGCCGAAGGCTTGGTTGAAGAAGAGGGTTTTAAGATGCACCTTGAAGGAACAAGGGAGAGAGTGAGGTGAAGGGAATGTGGGATGAGGGCAAAAAGGCTGAAGGCCCGGCCGCCGATAGTGGAACGGGTCGGGCAGGGGACGTTGAGCAAGCCAGAGCTTGTTGAGCGGAAGGAGTGGACAAGTTGACATGGGGTCAGCAGGGCGCAGAGGTAGGGAGAGGCCAGGCTATTAAGGGCCTTGAAGGCGAGGGCAAGGATTTTGAACTCTATCTTCCGGGAGATGGGGAGCCAGTAGAGCCGAGGGTGGGGTTTATGGGGTCATGGAGCCTAGTGTGGGAGAGGACACAAGCTGTAGAATTCTGGGTGAATTCTGGGCAGCTTGTGGAGGGAAGAGTTGGAAAGGCTGGCAAGCAAGGAGTTGGCATAGTCGAACCTACATATTATGAATAGGTTGATGAGGGCTTCGGCAGCCTGAGAGGTGAGACAGTGGCGGAGCTGGGTGATTTTGCGGAGGAGGGGGAAGGCAGAGCAGGTCATGGCACGGATGTGGGGTAGAAAGGATAGTTGAGAATTAAACAAGATGCCAAGGTTCAGGACTGGCTTAGTAAGGTGGAGTGTGCATCCTTGGATGGTGATGCTGTCAGTGCCTGAGGTGTGGAGGCACTGACGGAACCCAATTTGGAGAGCCTCGGTCTTATTCACATTCAACTGTAGAAAGTTAGCTCTCATCCAGGACTTGATGTCTGACAGACATTCTGTCATATGGGTGAATGTTAAGGTTATAATGTGGCTGTGCATTTATAAGGTTTATATTGTGTTGGCTGGTGTTGAGTTTCTGTGAATATATAGCACTAAAGAACTACTTTCTAGTGGTTTCTTTGCTTTGAAATTAAGGAGATTCTGGTCCTTTGATACCACTCCAATGCAAAGCATAGTGCAGTTCCAGCAACAAAAGGACAGGTTTTGTTTAAAAACAGCTTAACGCACTCTCAGAGGTCCAATACACAGTAATATCTGACTGGATTTCTTAATACGGATACATGAAGTGCATCACACCAATTTACAGTAATTTATTTTACTGTCATAGTTCCTGTGAGTCAGTGAGGTGTGTTCCCAGTCACCAGGCACTGCACTGATTTTCCACAAAACAAACATTAAAAATGACTCTTTAAAAAATATATTAAACTCAAAATGTAGGATTTATAATGGGTCACAATTTTTGTTACCCTTAATCTCGATTTGCTGTCAGTTTACCCTCAACCGTTAAATACAGATTTGTACTCATTATGATGGCCATTCTTGCATTCACTAACTTCCCAAGGTTAAACAAGTCACAACACAAAAATTGTTCAAAGTGATCTTTATTCACTTCGTAAAAATACAAAATAAAGCGTGTTTTACTTAAATGATACGTGGTTAAAATTCATAAAGATAATATTCAAAGCTCAATTCATTTAACAAAAAAAAGTTCAGCATAAATCAGCATAGTATCTGAACAGTCAAGGTGTATTAGGAAACTGAACTCAAAAGCCTTTCTTTTTCTGTTCATTAATTCATATTAATTACTCGGGAGGAGTTACATGGTTTGCATTGGTGCAATGGAGTTAAACATGGTACATACTAACTTTACTCTAACTAAAGAAGAGGAATCTATGCACTAGCCATTCCACAGAGTGACAAAGAATGAGCAGAGGGAGTGCCACTGTTCAGCACAGTAAACTTGAGACAGCTCCTCCTGCAACTCAGAGTTCTCATCGTTCACTTCATCTGCTGGGGTTGGTGCTTCCTTCTTTGGAGAGTTTCCCGCTTTGGGTTTCCTTTTGTTTTTAAGTGGTTTCTCAGTGGTGTCACCTTGGTCTAACAAGTTTCTCTTCCCCGGTGGCACTTTTGCGGAAGCCTTTTTACGTGCAATTCCTCTGTCCCCTCGCTTGCCCGTCTCCGAACTCTTCGCGGTCAGTTTCATCTGTGATTCTGTGGATCCAGTTTTGCAGATTCTGTTTTTGAGGGTTTTATCGCCCTCGCAGGCGTGCTTCTTCCTTTTCACTTTGCCGATGACCTGTTTCCAGTACTGCCCAGCTTTGGCAGTGTATTGCGGGCAGATCTGTGGTCTCCCAGTGTACTTGCACCAGTAGTTGTTGCCTTGGTGACTGCAATTGACAAGAAGAGTTAACTCCTCATCTCCTGCGATTTCCCAGGAACACACATGACTATCCTTTGTTGTCAATTTCCCTTTAGTTGGCAAGGATTTGCTTTTCTTTTTACTCCGTCGATCAACATGCTCTTTGCCATCTTCCTCCCCTTTTGCACCTTCTCCTGGGAATGGGAATAGGCACAGGAGCAGTAGAAGTAAAGTTATCGTGTGAAAGAGCTTCATATCATCAGGCCGTTATGAGTTGGCAGTAGCGATTCAGATGCAACCAAGCTTATAATGATTCGACCAAGTGTGGAAGATGAAATCCTTGCTTTATATTCGCACAGTCCTACAAGGGTAAAGAAACATCACAAGTTATTGTGTAATACCGAACACGCCAATAGAATCAATATATTGATGCATTAAATACATTTATTACTAAAGCAATTGACGTTGTCAGAATGCTTTTCCCGCAACATTGGTCAAATGCATGACAAAGAATGCATTTAACTCACTAGATAGAAAGGCATCAGGTCACAGTTACTCAGCCCTACATAATCTTACAGATCATATTGAAATGATTAAACCTCCAACAGACAGGCAAACCAACGTGCTACAACAGTTTCCTTCCAAACTACATACCCTCTTTGAAGAAACCTTTTAATTTCTTCAACCAAGAACATAAGCAGCGCAGATTAAAAAGTAAGGTTCAGATATAAATATCATCTTGACCCTGAGTACCGACCCTTAATTCTGTCTTAAAAATATTCTAGTCAATTATTTATTATAGTTATATTGTATTATTAGTTATATATGTCATATCCAAACATATATTTGACAAAGTTAACGGGGGGACAGAAGATAATCCAATGTTACAGTAAGTGAAATGGCACTCTTGACGTGTTAAAGTGGATTTACTTACAGTCTAAGGGAATGACCTGCCCTGCTGCTGGAGTTCAGAGCTGCTGTCCCACGTTCAGTGAGTGTGGGCTGTATAAAAGGGGCAAGTGAATGTCTTGCTCATTGGACAGAAGGAGTTTCAGCAAACCACACCCCTCCCTACCATCCTGCCTGCTTGTTGAAACTTATTTACATATCTATAGACAGTGTCTGATCGTATCAAAATCAAATACTCAAACTTCCTTCTTATAGCACAGAATAAGGTACCGTCTGACAAACACCTGTTGGCTTAATTGTTGAGACTTGTAAAATAATAGATGTTGAGAGTGCTGTGAGTGGAGGAACATTCATTGGTTCCTTTGATTTCACAAAAGCAATTTTATATTTTCTATCCACTAGGACTTTGGCTTGCAGAGTTGAGGATATGTCTCCAAGTCTCACTGGTGAGACAAAACCATTGTGATTTTCCAATCTTAGCATTTTCTTTTTGATAGAAGCAGTCGAGGAAGCGGTTTGTTCCCTGCTTGCAGACTATGTAATCGTTCTGGGAAGAAGGTATAAATAGGTTGAAATAGAATGAGATTATCTGTATTTTTTTATTAAAAAATTGATTCAACTAGAAAGTAAAAAGCGAATTGGGGCATTCTCCCGATGTGAAAGGCCCTACATATTGTAATTTGTTCTTGTTGTAGAAATGGTCACAATCAAGTTGCTAGCCACTGAATAAGTTCTATGTAGTTATATACATATATGCATTTAACATCAACCTCCTGAGTTCTTCAATGTGTGTATAGATTGCAGATGTGATTTTAGTAGCCTCTGACTACTTGGAGGGAAAGGTGCTTTGGATTTGGAAACTACACTATCTCCATGCTAATGCTACTGTAACCGGGCAATGTTCAAAACTACTCTTGAAGCGATGAGATGTGTGGGAATATATTTAATCTTATTATATTATCCCAGTCACAAAATCTATAAATTATTAGTACTGATTTAAACAATTTGGGGAACAATTGGTGCCTGAGAAAATTTCCTGTATAAAGGAATCCCCATTAACCATGCACCATTAAGCAGTGTCAACCTCACAAGATATAAATCCTGGATTTGCCTTTAGTCTGCCTCTAGTTTCTCAGAAAGAAGCTCAGTAACCCACACCCTGACAACAATGTCCGGAGTGATATAAGACTGACCGAGGCTTAATACAAAGAAATTGTAATTGTAAATGCGAATGCGCAACAGAATTATTGTGTTGTTGATTTGGTTCACTGTGAGTATTAATACAGCGCAACATAATTTACATTTATATAACAGCTTTTATACTTTCATGTTTCAAAGCCTTCCATTAGAGCACATTGAATATGTATTTAAAAAGTAGCAGAGTACACATGAGTATTGCTATAACAAACTACTGTATCTAGGTTGCACAGCCATTACTAAAACAAAATTTGTAGCAGGCTCTCTGTGTAAATGGTCAGGAATGGCAATCCCAGGGGATTTATTTTTGCTTTCTGAGCCTGATTCTTATTAACTGTAGGCCTTTTATTGCTTTCCTGGCTGAGATTGACCATCTAAGCATGAATCATAGCCTGAAGCTGGGACCTTCCAACTCTGTATATCTCAGTACCCCTGTCATTCAGTGCATTTCCCCAATTAGCTACTGGGTAAACCATTGTTTAGACTTTTAGCCTTTTGGGAGTCAATAGACAGGTTTGATATGTTACTTTAATCAAAGATTAACTGACTTTTATCCATGATATAGCAATGTCAATTATCAGTGTCTTGGCTTTTGATAGATGGAAGAAACATAGCCTTTAGAGATTATATCAATAAGGTTGAACAGAGAGGAGATAAATCTATTCAAGACTATTGGTTGCACAGGAAGGTTTTGCCATCTGGTGGCTATGTTCTTTGTTACATCTATCAATTGCTCCAAACCATTGATTGCATCTGCTGCCTTTAACAAACCATAGTGCAAAACTCATTTATTAAACTGCAGTTATATAAGTATTATAATCCAGTCAAACAGAAATCTCTTTTGTGAAAAAATGTTATATTAGCTAATACTATTAGAACTGTAGTCGACTTCTAAATTTTAAAATTAAGACTCACAATTTCTTCTCATGCCTGATAAATGAGTAGCCCAGGTGGAGCAGAGAGGGTGGATCTCAATTCCATTTTTTTGTGCCTTTAAGTCTGGTTTTGCTATTTTGGTACCTAATAGCTATAAATCATGGAATGTATTCATGTCACAGAAAGAGCAATACTGATGAAGTATAGTACAAATGTGCATGAAGATCATGCACATTTGTACTAGACGAATCAGACATGCTGTTACAGTACACTGACATTTTAAGCTCAGATTGAATAAATTGAAGGAAAATTATATATATTTAACACTCGTGAACATAGATTTTCCATATAAATAAAGTATAAATCAAGTGTAACAAAAATCGTTGCCTCCTTAATTGATAACAACCCACAGAAACTACACTTGTTTCAGTAAAATTATTAGTCTTTCATGGTGTCTCCATTTCCTAAAGCATCTAGCCATTCAGTTTTATTCATTAAAATACTTTTCTCCTTTTCCGCAATGGAATCTGACTTTTCACTTGATATTCTATCCTGAGGTCAGGTCCCGGGATAATGATGTCAGACCTATAATCAAACACAGAATCTAACAAATCACAACTCAAAAAGCTGCTGGTGCAGTAAATGTATGTGAATATATTTCTTTTGTTCACATCTGTTGTGCCATATGTTCATAAATGAACAAACTCGTTGGGATAGGACATCATAACATTACATGTGTTATATTTATATATTTAGTATTATTTTAGTCATGTAATCCTTTACAACCCATTCAACAAAAGTCCAAGAACATCAGATCAGATTTCTGTGCAGTTTTTTCTATTACTGTGCATAATGATGAAAACTAGCATTTTGTTTCATATTCATGTTTTCATGATGTTTTATCTTTTTTGATGACCTTGACACTTACCAAGAGTTTTGGGCATGATTGGTGCCTCCATGGAAGATGGTAGTAGATGGCCCTGGTATTTTGACCTGTATCTGTTCTAAATATGTTCCATCAATATTGCACCTGTGATTCCCTTTGATGTTTGGGAGTCTTAACAGTTACAGGTGCGCACTCTGCCTCTATTATGAGTTTCTTTTTGTCCAGCAATTTGAATCAGAGCTGTGTGCACCTGGTGCATTTGTAAGTGCTTCATCTTGTCAGTGGATCAGTGAATTTTAATAGAGATGGATCTGCTTTGTGTAGTATTCCAGACTTTATCTTGTGTCCATGACTTGTGATCTTGTGGATTTATAAACATTCTGCAATATTAAATTATAAAATGAGTCTGTGAAGCTACCTATAGGGTGATTAAAAATTAAAGCAAAAAATATAGTACAGTTATTTAGGATAAAATTGCAGGCTGGGAGCTGATTAGTTGAAGGTGCCTTACTCCAGGTTAGAACACCTAGGAATCAATATCAGCTAACATACTTTGTAAAGCCCTAATCTATTCACTCAGTCAAATGATCTTAAAAGTTTAGAATCCAATGTGCCTTGATGTTGCTGTTGTTGCAACTATAATTCAAAGCATCAAACCTTGATTATTTTGCTGTCAGCCTGCTATAACAGCCTTTTCACTCCTATAGCAATGTTCAAACACTTGCACATCTTCTAGAGGGATCAACCGGTGCAGCACTATTAAATACAGACAAAAAAAGATGCAAATTCAACAGTCTGACTGAGTTAAAAGGACCAGTAGTTGGACCATTTCGATCAGCCTCCGTGGTGGACTCAGGAGGTGAAAAATCAAAAATTCAGCTGCTGATTTTCCGCTCCTCATCACCATCTAGTGACCCTCCGCTACAAATTGCACAAGTGAAGACAGGACTGGAATTGGCTTTGATACCCATATGGTCAATAGCCTTTTAGAACTTACTACCTAATAACCAAGGGAATTGCATTCCTGATATAGAGGCAGCACCTTGAGGAGAGGAAAACTAATGGTCAAAGAAAAAACTTTAAGCATCGCTGAAAAGTTTAAATTTAATAGATAGGGGAAAATGACTGATGTGGGCTATGTGCAACTTTAATGGCACTATCTCCATCACAACATACCCTGAACCAAGCAAAAAGTGGTTCTAGTAGCAAGGGACATGTCAACACTTCCACATATATTATCAGTGATGAGTTCCACTTTGGGGCATTCTGACAGTTTTAGCTGTCTCAGATCAATTGCTAATGTAGGAATGAATCTTATAGAGAGAAGCTTCCCTGCAGGCTTCCCAGTAGGATAGATTTCATTGCTGGAAATCTGATGTTTTGAAATAGTTGAAGGGTGGAATCTGTGAATAGAAAATATGAGTATCAGTTGTGCATTTAACATAACTACTAAATTAGATATATTGCTTAGCTTGGCCACAATTGAAATCTATTATCTGCACTGCACCCTAAATAAACTGTATAATTTTGAATATCTCTTGTTAATATCAGTTATTCATCAGCTGCTCTCTAAGTTTCCTTTTATTTACAAAGCCTTATATTCCTCACCTTGTCAAAGAACTGATTGTAGATGGATCTGGGTTCCAGCAAATGTAGTTTCCACTGTGTCAAACTATATAGTTACTGCAGTGTAACTCTATAGTGCTACTCATTAAATGAAACTTCTCAAAACAATCTTTTAAATCCGTCCAATGATTTTCTTTAAAAATTCTACAATTCCCACAGACTCTGTCCATGTCTCATTCCTGAGCTACTGAATTTGTACGTACCACATAAAATCTTGGGAGTGGGCCAAGGAGATTTGACCTTGCTCTTTGATCATTGAAACAAACAGTTGAGGAGGATTCTTGCTGAACAGAATCATGAGTAAGGATGTATTTACAATCACGAGGGGTTTGGATGAAGGTTCACTCATTTAATTGTTGTTTAATGGCATAGATTAACTGTTGTGTTTGCTTATATAACAATCGTTTTTTTTAATATATTATTAGGTTAGGTTAGCAACATTGGAACCTTGTCCCGAAAATGGGTTTTAAATTCTGATTGATAAATGACAATTAGACATGCAAGAAATAACCTTAAC